TTCGCGCTTGGTGATGTGAGAGCCTGGTCCGGTGAGAACCCGGCGTGCTCCGTCCCGGCTTTGTAGGGATGCGAGGTCAATGGTCTAACGACTACGGCATGCACGACTATGAGTACACCCCCCTCCCCCAGAAGTGATTTTGATACATGCATAGGATAGAATGACCACGGAAAACATTTTTGAGCCACCTTTGGCAAAGTAGTAAGGAACGATTGGCCATCGGTGATCGGTCCTTCGGGAGCAATGCTTCGTCCTCTGGAGGACGCGTGGCCAATGGTCTAGCCGCTATGCCATACCACAAGACATGAGAGAGTACGCCCCCACGCTCCCCCGGCTCCTGTTTTCTCCATTTTTTCTTATTAAAACATTACTACTTCATATCTACATCCACAGATAAGAGTCTGGGATTTGTTCTTGTTCTTGACAGAACACAGCAGTGTATCTAGTCCAGTCATTTCTCGGTTAAGATTTTTTTTGTTTTCACGGGCATGGTGCCGTTTCATGGTGCCATTTCACGGTGCCATTTCATGGTGCAATTTTATGGTGCCATTTTACGGTGCCATTTTATTGTGCCATTTCATGGTGCCATTTTATGGTGCCATTTAATTTTCATATACCTTTTTTGGGCAAGTTAGCCTGTGACCAGGGAATCGACCCCGTCAAATGTTAGACTAGCACGGAAAGAAGGTGCTGGGCAGAGAGAACGGAACGGTTTTAAATGTAAAGGCAACAATAACAACAACAACAACAACAACAACAACAACAACAACAACGCGGTGGCTCTTAGGATGTACAACCTAAGGAGAGGCATCAACCTTGACGACACTTCCCCGCCTTAAGGGCACGCGTTTAAGCGAAACACCCGTTTGAGCGAAAAGCCATCGTGTCCTTAACCGAGGGACCACTTTTTTTTTATGTATATCGTATGTATGTGTAGTCTAGTCGAAACGGCTCTCGCCGTTTGTGTTGTTCGCTCGAACGCGATATTGGTACAATGCAGCAGCAGACAAAGTCAGACCTTCATGAGGCCATCGACAAGGGTCATGCTCCCCCCTCCTCCTCTCCCCTGGCTGACCAATCAAATCAACCAATATGTCCGATCTGTTTGGCACAGCAAGTACAATGGTAATGACGATACCGTATATGGATTACGTAAGACATAAAACCCCTGGGCCGATTTTCGAAGCTCGGTGTCTACGCAGGAGAGGC